ATATAATATATTTGTTTTACAACTACTGTAAACAAGAATTTCTACGACTATCCTTTTATTTTGTTGGAAATTGCCGTTGATGGCCAACTGATTGCTGATATAATAAATAATAATTCTCAGTTATGTTTTATTGGAATATAATCTCATTTATTGAAGTTTAAGACCACATAGTAGGGTGTTTTTTGTATAGATTACAAATGACTATAATATAATAATATATTTTATGTTTTGACAATCACTATTGAAAGTTGACACTGAAAATTGTACTGAACGCGCCAAGTTGGTTTTTTCGGTATACGTGAAGTTAAACCCCTCCTCTTTATTAACTCTTATATCCTTTTTCCTACGTATTTTCATAGTTGTGCCATAGGTGATTGTTGACATTTACAATTGGTGCATATGATTAAATATCGGTCACACTTGAAATGCAATACATACTATTAGATATATGTCATAGTATTAAAACGTTATCGTTCTATCACAGTGTTTTTTAAACTGTGCTCCGAAAAAAACTTAGGTTCTACATAGGTCACTTAAAAATTCCGTGAAACTTAAGTGCTTCTTTACTACATAACATTTAAAAAAATTAACTTAAAAAAATATGATCAGAGATTAATGACTATAGTAGGAAAAAGTTGTGTTAGTGGTGCACATTTATAAAATATTAAAATATATTAAAATATATAAAATACTAAATATTAATTTCAGTTAACATTTTTAGTACTTACAATAAATACTATACTTACTTTTTGCGACTAATTATATGTGTAAAACGGGGCTCTTAGCTTATGTATCAACAAAAACAAATTACCACAGAAAATGTTTGCCAATAAAGCCTAATATTAAGTAGGTATATCAATAATAATAAAAAGCAATTTCATTCATATTTAAAAAATAGTTTTTGAATCAAATAAATATTATTATACAAAATAATTGTAATTTGTGTTACAAATAATCCAAGTTTGTAATGTTGCATTAAGGCTATTGAAGCAAAGCATGGGTTCCACGATATAAATAAATATATTAAAACTTCCACTGATAAAAAAAAAAAAGAAAAAAAGAAAAAAATAATAACATTAAGAAACATTACTTTAAAATATTATTTAGTGGTGAACTATGTATTGTATAAGATACCAGTATAAAACTGTAAAAATGTAATATATTGTAGTCGGGTTCATGGTTAATGGGTTCGTTTAGATAATATTGCGATAATTATAATGCGTTTGAAAAAGATAAAATCAGGATACAATATTATATTGAATGTCATTTTATTATAAATTATTAAATGTATTAAGCACAATATAGATATTTGAGTGCGTTTGGTGTACGCCGTACGATTATACAACTAACAGTTTCAGAATACCAGAAACGAACAAACAAAAATCACAAATGATGTTAACAGTTTTCGGTTTTGAAATACGATTTAAATGGAATTTTAACAATAGCATTTTAATATTGAGTGAATAAGATATTCGTACGATTTGAATTTAATTTATTTTTAATAGCAATTGAAGGAAGAATTATGTGGGATATTATAGTGACTCGGTGAAAAGGTTTTTAAAACGATTAGTCTTAAAATATTCGTAACGTCGCTTTATATTTCGTCGTGTGATGGTCACGATTAGGGTCGTGATCAATAATAAGCAGCATCTACCTATGCGATCGTGTTTAAATCACGCGGCACAAACTATTCAGACCGTTCTATTCAATGGGTGGGGCGAGGGACAATTGCCATAAACTACAGCTCTGCAGTGCACATTTCTCCGCACGCATAAATATGCGAAGAAATACAGGTAAACGAACGGTTCGATGTTCGAAAAGGGTGTGTCGACATGTTCTCCAATACATACGGATCCCCGATGATTGATGAGGGTACATAAACACGGGTTAAGATTGAGAAAAATGATAATCCGACAACATAGCAAAAGAAACGTACTTACCATCACGTGTTTCGATAGAACCTTGGAAAAACAGTTTTTATACATTTTAGTACTAACACCGTATATATTTGATATACGATGATAAATATAATAATAGTATATAAAAATGTATAATATTTATTTCGGAATCTAATTATTTTATTATGGTTTCTGACAAAATAAAATGTTCTCAAAAAGTAATAAATATAATTGTGTTGGTCGAAAAAAAAAAGAAATACTTTATACGCATCTCTTAGGTATCTGCCTACCATTGACTAAAGCAGCGCGTACCCGCCCAATGTAGTGTTATTTGGAAACGACAACCCTACAGACACCGTGCAGATGAACCGGTTTAAAAATTTTGTTTTTTTTAAAAAAAACATATTACAGTACCTATTCATACCTATTCCCACGATTTTTATTAATATTATTATTGACCCGACCCGTAACAATAATTATTATAGTATCAATTAAATTTTTTTTTATGTAGGTAGATAGAGTAAAAAATACAATTATCTCGGTTAATTTAAAGCTATATACATAAGATTGAGTATTAGTCAATAGTGGTTCAAGGTCCAGTCTACTTTTCCAATAAATATGAACTATAATATTATATTATTTTCATACCTTTAGAGTGAATAGTGAATGATAATTTTTATATTTTTATTTGTCCGAAACAAAATAAAACTAACAATCACGTTTTGGTATCATATAAAATAAGTACCTATGATATTATTTCTGTATAATTTTTGAATCTTTGTAGTTTGTACTTCGTACCTAAAAAATAGACTATCAGCTATAATAAATAACACGCATATTTGTTATAATTAACCGATTAAGTATACAATATTATAATATTATCTTGATTAATGACTCACTATGATATTATTTACTATTGCTTAAGTATTTTAAGTATTCCTTGTACTTTAAAACCAATGTTGATTAAAAAAAAATTTTATAATCTTTTTAGGAATAACTTTTTTTCAACACGACCACAGTTTGTTCAAGGTTAAAGGTTAAATTAACTAATTATGTCTAAATAAGAAATAATACATTTGTAAAACGATAATGGGTAAATAATAGGTTTATACAATTTACACGGTTCTTCATAATGCGTACACTGCTGTACATTTGACAATTATATTTTATTCAATACAAAAATTAGTAGGTAGACAATATTAACTTAAAACAGTGTTAAACAATTTTATGTTATAATAAGTTTTAATTTGAATTTATAAATTATTGGTAATAAGTATTATGAGATGTTCTAATTACAAAGTCATGAATTTAAATTATAAAATTGTCTTATTATTATATTATAATAATTAGGTTATAATTTTAAATAATTTTTTTTACACTAATATAGGTATTTGCTAATAATATTCTTCTATTAATTTCAAAAATTTACGGAGATACATTTTTTTTGAAGAAATAATAGTCAAATTCTTAAAATATGATTAAAAAATTAAATTAGTATCTTCAGTAAAATTAGAATTTTTTTAAAGTTTCGTAACTGGTATACTTGGCGGGCAACGGCTAGCATATTAATGCCACTTTAAAGTAGGCTCAGTTAATTTTTTAAAATTGTAAAAATTAAGTGGTTATTCTTTTTTTGATTAAAAAAAAAATCATGATATAATGTATATTTATTACAGTATTCTGTATTTCTGATGACATTGATGCGGGTCGGATGCATCAAATAATGGTTCATCAAACAACCAGCCACCTGCTTTCGGTAATATGATTTTTAAGTATTTGGTAAAATATAATTCTATTATATTTTTAATGGATATTATTATTATTATTATTATTACTATTATTACTCACAAGATGCGATGCCATTGGTCAGCAAAGGGCGGTGGCTCGCGGTCGCTCGGGACCTGCGTGTTTGTTTGATACTTTGATATTTAACAATATTATTGTTGAACAATGAAAACACGACGCTGTGTAAACGTCGCTTTACGTCGTACGACGCCAGTCACGTAGGCCATTTCGGCGCCGCCGCCTATATAACATAAGACCGGTTCACGTACTGTACACACTACACAGTGTCCACAGTACTTTTCAACTGCAGACGACGGCCGTTTCCGATACTTGCGCACAGACCTCTGTGTTTACGCGTATATTCGTACTATACACAAAGTCGAGTTTACTGTGCCGCGCCACGACTTACAGCGTTTTTCGTGAACTTTACCCCGCAGAGGCGCTTTACCGAGGACCACAATGAGCGGAACAGCCAATAGCAAGCCGAAACGCGGATATCATCCACATCACTTGTACAAGTTGCCAATGACGGCTGACGCGGTCACCAGCGAGGATTTATCCGGAGAAGAGGCGGAGACGACACAACCGCCGGCCGACCAGGCGGAACCCGTTAACGCGCTAACCGCCTACACCCGCGGATACGTCGTCAACAAGTGCGCATTGCTCTACGACAGATTGCAAAAAAATCCGGTTTGCAAGTGAGCGTAATAATATTATCTATATTGATTGAGTACAACGTGTTTGTATGTGAAAAACTTCGGAAAATTATTAGCTATTAAGAAAAAAAAAAAAAAATCAAGTATGAGTATTTACCATCGATGCTCCACTAAAATCCGGACCCCAATATACGCAACGTCGTCAATTTACATAACAAAAACAAAATATAGCTAAATAAAAAAAATAATAACTTTTTTATAATAATTAATACAATGACGTAAATAAGAATGACATTTCTTGTATTTAATTTCGATTTTTAAATAATCATTAAGCACCTATGCAGGCAGGTAAAAACAAAAATGAATACCATTTTTTTTTTTTCATTAGTAAACCTTTTCTATAGTCATTAATCCTAATTAAAATGGATAAAAATAATCAGTTTAGTAATATAAGTTATATAAGCGTCGTGCGTTAAATTTTCTTGGGTGTTTTTACGTTAAACCTGCTCAATAAGTAATATTATTTCACATTTACACTTAAGAAACAGATAGATGGAAACAAATGGTGTGCGAAAAAAAAAATTAAATAAATATACACATTATGCATGATTATATCATCATAATTAATAATTTATCATTAAAATGTATACCTATTGACGTTACAAATTTTGTGTATTATATACACATAATTATAGTATATCGCATTATAATAGCTTATATTTCTGAATTTTCTGTTGTTTATTATAACAATAATAATTTTTATCCCTTAGGATATTGTTCTTCGTTCGATCAGTACATATGATAATGGCGTTGGCTATTATTCTGGTCGCCGTGACGATGTTACCCGGCGATCTACAGAAGTCGGCGAAGATAGGCGAAAAAGTTAAATCTAGAAGATTGGTGAGAATTGCTCATTTGGCAGCGTTCTGCACGCATTTCGGTGCACATATCTGGATGACATTCGTTTCCGGTAAATAAAATAGATCAAGTTGCAAATATTATAGATAATCATATAAGAAGTACCTGTCTATAAATCTAGAAGAGACGGAGGTTATTTATTTATTCATCTGTTTTTATTTTCTCAGGAGTGTGCTTGTACTACAAGTTGTCTAGACATGCTTTTGGCGACGTTCAAAAAATCTTGTTTCCCAAATATTATTCAATAAGCAGTTTACTAAACGCATTTAAGCTTATCCAGTTCAGTAAGATGTGCGTCAATGAGTGGGATATACATACGTATTTACAGGTACACATAATTTATAAATAATAATAGTAATAATAAAAAACACGTAGGTTCTTGGTGTATATTAGTATCATTGCGTACTTATTCGCCACGAGTGTAACGAACTAGATTTAGGTTTATTTGATGGATAAGTCTAAAATAATTAGTTATTACTAGGGCTAGAATTTATATGCAATAGTATATTTTTTTTGCAATTTCTAATCATTGCTTTTGTAAGTAATGTCTACAAATCACCTCATGATGAGATAAACAGTGGTTATTTTATTTTACATATTTTTGCATATTTTGGACTAATACATATAATTGCATATTTTGAATAAAATTAATAATATTGCATATTTCGACTATAAAAACGCGATAAATGCATATTTTATGGTATATTTCGTTACCAGACGTTTTTATCATGCGATAGTATGTATTGACGCTGTTCAAAATACCTATTAAAGGTATATACAGATATAGATATAATATAAATTAAGGTCTAACAGAAGACCGTCCAGTTTTGACAATTTAAAATACCATGTTTTGTGTAATACATTTGAATAGCGTGGTTAGTTAAGAATATCATTTAATTAATTTTAAAACGAATGATTTTTTTAAGTGTATTTTTCATATTTTTGGCGTATATAATATTAATTATACATTTTACAATTTTTCATTGCGTTTAAACCTTAGCCCTAGTTATTACTAATAGGACGTCTTAACACAACATCTATTTATTTTTTTATTTTTATTGTAATTTCGTATCCCTGCTGATATATATATATATCCAGTTTATCTGTAGGATTCTCTAAATGTACACACTTTTGTAGGAGACATTATAGGTACGTACATTGTAATAAGATTGATTAGAGAAAAAAATGTATTTTACATATAGGTAAGTAATGTTTTATATTCTTTCCTGAACAATTAATCCTCGCCTGGTTCTATATCTGTTCGTAAACATTTTTAACCACATTAAATATACGATATTTATTTTTAGGCAGATTGGTGTTAAACAGCAATATAATACGTAATAGCATACAATTATTGTCGATAATTACGATTATTATTATGGTTATTAAGATATTATGCATACTTACGACCTCTCGTTGTATAAGAGTTGTACTTATATGAAGCATAATACATGGATAGTAATATTATATAATAGGAGCAAGGATTCGTATGCATAATTTTTTCCTTTTCATATTTTTGTATTTTTGTAATAATCTTTTTAAATTATCTTAATTTATTAGAATTCGTTAACAAAATTTTATTTTATTCATTTTTACACAGTTAACTATTGTTACACGTTTAAATAAAATTGCTTATTTTTTTACACGTTTTGAAGATAATTATGTGAACAAATTACATTTTAGTCGTCGAGTGGAGCGATAAACCAACTAGTACAAATCATATTTAGTATAATATTACAGAGGATTAGATGTTTAAAGTTTCTAAATTGGTTTTGAAGAAAAAATTAACGTTATATTTAGTTCTAAACTGTAAAGGGATGACATGAATTACAAAATAAAATTATATATAAAAAAAAAAAATGCTTTTAGTGTTACATAAAATTAATTAATACGTTACTAGGTCAAAACGTTTAACTAGATGAAATTTATTAATATACCTATATACCCATTATAATTATATTACCTTATAAATTATAATATATAGGTGGTGTATGGTTGACTGCTGTAAAAGTAAATTTTTCTCAAGGTGGCACCTTTTTCTCGGATATCTGTAGAGCTCTTATGATATACAATTATTTATATTTGAAAAGTTTGAGATCATATCTATGACTATACGATGCATAATATTATATTATTATGTGTTCCACTTTAATAATTAATATTGATTAAAATATTAATAAATTGTTGCTATATCTATTCATATTTGACTGATAATTCAATATTTTTAACTTTTTAAGCATTATATTTTACTAATGTGTAATTTTTAATAATCTTTATTATTATTGATTTAGATATTTTTTATATCAATATTATTTATCTTGTGTAATGTTTTTATCACTTATATAACTGTTAATTGAGATCTCCGTGAGTTTACATAATAAATAAATAAGGAAATAATAATTGGTAATACCTCAATACATTTTCTAGAAGCAATTTCGATGTAAGAAACCAAATACATTGAAATCTCCCTTAACTGATATCTCTAAATAGCGGATATTTTTTTTAAAAACTGGAACATATTCCTCGAGGAAAACTTCTAAATAATAGACTTTTATGGCTAAATTTTGATAATTTTTATAGTAATTATTATTTAAGTAGGTACCTATATGTTTTATTACAATGCGCATTTTACACATTACTATATCATTATTTTTTACAGCTATGTGCGTTGAGTATATGTTTACTGGTGGAACTTAGCATTCGGCTGTATGTGGTGCCGCCAATGTTACAACTTATATCTGTTAAGATGGCCATAGAGAAGTCGGCGGGCATCGGCAAAGAAGTGGGCCGCCAAGACCTGGGTCCGTTAATTAACTGCCCTCATTACATGGCTGTCCATAAGACTTTCCGGAAGGTGCACATGATTATGGCAGTATGTAACATTATCACCATGATGTGTAATATTTTTCATTTAGTGTATATCACAGCCTAATACCGTCGCCGCCGCTACAACTATAGCTGCTCCAAAACGATTGGAAAGTAGTTTTCCGGTCTAACAAATCAACATGCGTAATTCATAATATTATTTAATTTGATACATAAGAAAAGATAGACACATCACTTATTTTTAACAGTGATGATGTCAAATGGTTTTTTGCGAATAATATTTTTTGACCGTTGTCGAAAATGTCATCACAAAATATTCGTTTCCGGCACCATCACTATAACGTAATAATAACAATAATAATAATTAATAAGCAAATTTTATTATATTTATGTTATAATAATACTACAATACTATAATTTTGACTATTAGCTATATTACTGCCAGTACCTATTACTAGTTATTAATATTTATAATTACTACGACTTATAGTTACTACTATTACTATCATTATTCCTTTTACAAGAATGAACGACATACAAATTATATAATAATATAACTATAAATATTAAAACGTATCAATTTGATATTTTCATAACTTATTCATAATTTATTTTATTTTTACTTTGTTCCTATATTTATTATATTATTGTTGCGAACGTTTAGTTGTGCATAATAATATATTATGCATTGTAACACAATAAAATAAATATATTTTCTATATCTATAGTATACCTATATTTTAAGTTACTTTTATTAAATATATTATAAAATATTTATTTATACTCTTAGGTGAACATATTTTTTCAACTATACCTATGTCCAGGTTTCTGATACCTACTATGTGTAACATTATCTATAATATTACGAATTACGATGTATTACAATTTTTTTAGCGTTCGAAATATTTATAAAAAAAAAATAAAGTACATATTTTTATTTTTCTGTTTTGTTATAGTAATATTTATAGGCACTACAAGGAAATAATCAAAAATATTAAGTTCGAATTAAATTTTAAAGTTTTTTTTTTTTTTTAATGTAATTATGGTGGTTCAACATCAAAAAAGAAAAAAGTTTTCACAAAATACATTGATTAAGTCGATTAAGATGAAAAAAGCATTCGAAATTATCAATAATAAGAAAATAATTCTTTAAATTAATTTATTGAAACGTATTCAAAATTGTTCAATATTGATTTTGGATTTAAACTATGTATTTTTTTTTTTTTAATTTCCCAAGTATACGAACATCATAGGTAAAAGTATAACTTTTTACCACGTAATAATACGTATAATGTTAACATACAAAAGTAATTGTATTTATTTTCATTTATACATTTATAAATTTGCGTTAATATAAGAAGAGCTGATTAAAATTTTCCATCAACAAACCAATAGCTAAAGTTTTAGTTTTAAATTTTAATTAGTAAACATTTTAAATTACGAATTTGGATTATTGTCAATTATACTTTAACTTGCCAATCTTGCAACGTTTATCATATGATCCAACTAATTTCGTTTTTATAATTCAAATTCATTTAAATTCAATCAACAATAAATTAATGCAAAAAACGGTTTAAAATATATCATTCAGGAATGGGAGTTTGTGTACTGTCTTTTGACATTAAAAACAAGTGCATATGATTATGATACCGAGATACTCTTAAAATTTTCAAACTTGGAAACTATTAGAAAGGCATTACATACCAAACATCATAAACTTTTTTTTATTAAGGTTTACCTTTTTAATAAGGTTTATAGATTTTTACGTGTTATTTTTTTTTTACTTTATTCTTGTACATCTACTTAAATTAAAAATGTTTATAGATTGTTTACATAATAAAATTAACTTTAAAAAAAAAAAATAGGTATAAGTTCTGTTATTAAATATTTTTCCAATAAATGTATTGTGCATCTCAATGAACAGATTTATATAATCAATGTATATAATTAGATTATGATGATCTTTTTTTTTATCATCAAACAAATGTTTCTCTTTCCTAAATATTGATCACCAAAAACTTGAAATTTCAAATTTAGCTCTTATGTTTAAAAATCGTCAACAATCAGCTATTTATGTAAGTATAATCACAAACTATTAAAATTATAAGTTAATTATGTTAAAAATTAAAATTTATGATTTATATATTACTATAAATGATTATTAATCACTATACAAAATAAAAGTAAAAACAAAAAATTTTTCAAAAATATAATTTTCAATCTTAAAAAATGTTAAAAATCATAAAATAGAAAATTATGAATTACTTGATTAAACTAGTGTTGGCAGAAATTTAAGTTATATATTAAACGGAATTTTATTTTTTTCTGATTTTTAATTTATTTAAATAATCAATATTTTGGTGTTTTTCTGTTCTATAATATTTTAAGGCGTAATTATTAATTAACACATATAAGTATTAATTTTAAATGACTTTAATACGTTCATAAATTGGTGTATTTTAATTTTTAATAATAGATATAACTTACAATTTACCTACAATATGATAAATATTATTGTAACATACATGGATGAAACTCGGTTATAAGTTATAACTAGGGATAAGAAGTTATAGAAGCTAAAATAGACAAAATATGCATGCAAATATGCAAGGAAAAATTATGATATATGCATAAAAAATTTAAAAATATGCAAAAAATATATTATAATATGCAATTTTTTCCATAAATAAAAAATGTTTAAAATAAATTAATATAAATAATATTCCATTAAATTTGTTTCTATTAAAATATAAATAATTTTTAACTGAGTGATAAAATAATTAATATAAAAATGATTGGTCAGACTAATTGAGTAATAAACTATTAGATAAGATACTAATCCTAGATTTATTTTTATATACCTACCTACTATTAAATGTTACAATTCTACAATTTTCAAATTTGCTATCTGCATTTTTATTTTATTGATTATTGCAGACCACGAATACATACAATTCTATAAAATAATAAATTTTTCATGTCAGTTGTATTAAATTCCACATAATTTTACTAAATATGCATTTTTATGCACAAAAAAAAACATGAATATGCAACTTTTAAAAAAACTACCAATGTATGCAAAAATATGCAAAATTTAAATACCAAATTTCGATTCATTAGGTTATAAAACAGATTTTTATCTCACCTAGCTATAAATAGAAGATACAGAAAAAAATATGCAAATCCTATAACTTCTCATCCCTAGTTATAACTATTACATTATGTAGAAAAATAACATAGTCGAGTGCGTCACTAAAATTTGACGCAAATTACCCATTGAATTATTACTATTTATTACGCATTAAGACACAATTTATTATCAAGCTGCCAATGCCATTATTTGTCACTACTTACATACTAAATTATATATTGTTTTTATTAATTAATATTTAGTGAGCATTTTTATCTTAAACCATTATCAATAACTCTATTTTTAAAGTAGGCTTTAAAAAAGGTGATACGAAATGGCTATGGGTGAGTTGCAGCCCGACGTGTCGTTTCCGGTATTCGAGACCGGTGAATTCTTCGACCCGATAATATTTTAGGTGTAGATTCTAGGCGGCTCGACAATATTTTAGCTGCAGGTGAATTGCGGCCCAAGTAAATAACAAATCTGTCTTCACATTGTTGTCGTAGACTCGGCTTCGTTACTTTTGTCGCGCCAAATCTGTACGGTCGCGTTAAAACCATTATATTTCTGATCGGTTCCTTGTGGTATACGATCGTACTCGTGCAGTCGTGCTCAAGTCGTATATATGTAATAAATACATTAATGTATGGCCGAAATTCGTACATACATTTCATAAACCCGGGTCGCAACTCGTACATTATTTAGGGATTGGGCCGCAACTCACTTATACCGTACGAAACGACTAGTGCAAAATAATTTCTAGCTTTGTAAACAGTAGATAATATTAGTGGTAATTGTATATAATTAAATGGTTCAATAACACATAATATCGTAAAATGTAAAAATGTAATAACACTAAAGCTAATAACCTTGTAGTTGATGCTTAAACAATAAAAAAAATAAAAATATTAGTGGTATTGGTATAGGTAGAAAGTGATTAGGGGTTCACCCCCCCTCCCCGGTGACCTAAATTTTAGTTAGTAAATAAATAAATAATAATAAAAATAATCTTTAGAAAAAAAAAATTAAAATACTCGGATATTGGTAAATTTTAATGAATACTCCTCTGGTAAAAACAGAAAGTGAATATTTTTGTAATACAATTTCACAACAATGAGTTAGTTTTCGGTACGTGCAATTTTCTAGAATTTAGATAGGTAAAAGATTAATATCATCTGATATTTTCTTTAAAAATACAGTTGACGACCGTTGACCGCATAGCTATACTGTCAATAATTATTGTTTATAAATAAAATGTAGGTATCAATGTGTTTGATGTTACGATTTACCGATTTACAACATCACGTGACTTTTTTGAGTCCAGTCAGACTATAGTATTCAAATTAAAAAAAAAAATGTATTATCATCTTACGACGCACATTTATATTATTATCACAACTGAATTTGTGTTTACAATTGAATTAAAAACACAATTTATTTTCAGATGTTTAAAAAAAGGCCAAATTTGTCACGAATAAATAATAATATAAAAAAAAAAAAAAAATTATAATAAAATAAAAATGAACATTTTTGGATTGTGTCGAATACTATTAGAAAGTAATAAAATTTACCTGTTATAAAGACGCTAATGTATCCAAACCATTTCAAATACATTTATATTTCTTGGAAAATATTATATAGGATATTATTTGGCGCGATAACAATACACACAATACCCTGGTATTAACGTCCAATATGAGTTGGGTAAATATTTGGTGGGGCAACGAAATTCTTTTGGCCATTAGGGCACGTGTACGAGTAGGTAACACTGCACGGCTCATTTCTTAGGAATACTTCGTCAAAGAAGTCACGTTTTTACGAGATCAAAACACAATCGATTATATCATCCAACAAATTAACAACAAATATTCAGTAAGTACAACAAAATTATTATTACTTAATTATAAGTACTATTTATGTTAATTTAATATTATTAGCCTATGTTATGTACTACTATGTACAAGTTTATTAAGTAT